AGACTCAAGGGAGGGATTTGCTCCATTATCCAAGAAAACTAACGAGGTTCAAATTACGCTTCAAATCTTTTTCTCTTCTCTTGATTCATGACTGTGCTTGGACAAGTCACCCATGGAAAGAAGTAAATCTACTCTCATAAAGGGCAAACTGCAAACGGCAGCAGGAGTCCCAGAGCTATATACCAGTGAGTCATGGGAAGGACCAGTGAAAACTCACTTGGACTCCGGCTGAGAAACAGCTGCTTCTGAGAGTAGCATGTGGCAAACATACTTTCCTCTGATGCCATCACCTTTAAGGGCACCAAGATGTGCTTCAAAGGGTAAACACATATGGGTACACACAAAGAAATGCACATGTACAGGATGTGTACAGAGTCACAGACTCCTGCACTGTTGGGCAAAATTCAGGTGAGCTTCGTAATCGCTACATGAAGAGCACTATATCAAAAATACCAAGTAGAGACACTCATGCATTGCACTCAATGGCCAAGAGCAACTACTGCTACACTACAGCTTGTAGCCCAACTCTGTCCCACATGCACAGTATGTGCTTGTGGATCACAAGATGAGCTATGGTACCACAGAGAAAACGGGAACTGAAAGAGGGTTATGTTAAAGCATGCTTACAAGGAAGGCAGATTGCCAGTGGAGTAGCTCGCAGCTTTTGAGTAAGGTTAAATTTGCTACTTACAACTCATTGAGCAGAAAACTGGGTGACACTTAAACGCATACACTGCCTGAGCTAGCTTATAAATGGGCTGAGCATGTTAAGGAAACCCCAAGAATACCTAAAATAGGACTCCTACGGCTGTGCACCCTTCACACCCTTCTCCAACAAGGCAGCCTGCATCCCCCATACACCCACACCTCTCACCACGGGGCCTGCAGCGGCTGCCCAGGGAAGGCCACAGCAAATTCAAGGGCACTGATGCTAATGCCAAGTCCACCAAAACAAACACCAGCTCTTGCACACAGACAAGGTGCACTTGGCTCAGGTACCAGTAACACGCTGCCTGGAACACAGCTCATGTAATGCAAACGAGGCTTGGATGGGGCAGTGCTGCAGCAGGGACACACAGACCCCCGCAGACCACCGACAATCCGTCCCCCAGGACCGAGCCAGCCGCCCCGCAGAAAGGATGAGTCACAGCTCACTGACCACTTGCTCTTAGGAGCACAACACCGCTCCCCGACAAGCCCCAGCGCCGCCGGGCTCTGTCGGCCGGGACGGCAGCAGGAGGCCAGCAAGAGCCGCTGCCCGGGGCCCGCCGCTGAGAGCAGCCGCTCCGCCACCGACCGCTGCCGCTGTTGCCCCCCTTCACCGCTCCCGCCGGGGCTCTGGGGCGGGCCCGGGGACACACCCGACGGGGCGGCCGCCCCAGCCCCACCTGCGCGGTGCGAGGACCGCTCCCGTAGCCTCCGCCGGACCGGGCCATACCGGACAGCACCGTACCTCCTTCCTGCGGCTGGGCGCGCCTGGGCGGGTGATGAGCGCGGTCTCCTCGCACACCACAGCCACATCCTCCACGAAGACGCAGTCGGGGAGGCTCTCATCGGCCGGCAGCTCCAGCACCTGCAGCCCCAGCTTGCCCCGGAGCACACCCACGTACAGCTGATGCTCCCGCTCCGCGCGGGCGAAGTCCACCTCCGGGCCCGCCGCCCTGCGCAGCGCCTGTCGGCATAAGGACTCGGGCAGCGCCCGTACCACGGCGTGCGTGCAGCGCCCGAAGGCTGCAGGGCCGCCGCCCAGCCCAGCCATGCTGCACGGCGGGGCGCAGAGCAAGGAGGGAGGGATAGCGAAAGGGACGAGCGGCCACAACCGCCGCCGGCCCTGGCAGCTGATAAAGCACCGCCCGCAGCCCGGCCGCGCCCCATTGGCTCCCCACCAGGCACATTTCCATGGGGCCGCCGCCAAGCGCGCTCCCATTGGCTGGCGGCGGTGGCCGGGCCGCGCCATTGGCAGCCTTCCTCAGGGAGCCGCTTACCTGGGCGGCGGGCGGGAGCGGTGGCACTTCTGGTTCAGTCCCGGCGCGGGGGGAGCCCCGCAGCGACGGTGGAACCTCGACCTGAAGGTCGAGGCGCTTGTCCCGGGGCAGGGCGCTGGGGCTGCCCATGCGTGCCCCAGGGCTCCGGTACCACAACACGGCTTGAGAGGCAGCGCGTTTGCACGTAATAATTTCACATAGCTGTGTATAAACACGTAATTGCACTCACACAGTGCAAACACCTGCCTTGAATGAGCATTTCTAGGCTCATTCGAGCTCGGTCCGAGCAGGGGTGAGGTTGCTCATCCTTCCTGCTTGGGTGTGCCTTCTTAGGCTTGATGCCTTGGCTGCCTGTGGCTTCCCAGTGGCAGAGCAGACAGCTCGGCTGTCTATCCACGCGGCCAAAGAATATCCCATTATGGAAGCAGTTCCAAATACAGATCCAAATGAGATAAGCCCAATCACATCCCAATCTCTTGTCATGGCTTCTTACATGGCACAGGTTGTCCACCTCTTTCACGCTGCCAAAGTTTCCACTTATGTGGGGTAAAGGGGGCAGCAGTGTTTTGCTCCAGAGACTGAAACAATGAACATTTTCCACTCTTTCCCCTAAAAGAAACACTTATTTCTCCCCATCTCATTTTCCCCAGGTTTTATCCTGACTTGAAGTCATCCCACACAAGGGCCAGCCCTTTCGGCGCACACATCTGTCTTCCAGGCGGGAGGCAAGTGAGGCTCTGGGCAGCAGACATGCACGGGCAGCACCAGCCCCGGGTTGCTGCTGTGGGCGCTCTCCCAGGTACCTCTGAGGTCTCTCCTCACTGGAGCAGGCAGGGAGAGAGGAGGAGCATTCATTTTCCTTCCAGCTCTTCTTTCACCAGCAGGGCTCTTCCAAATGCTGCCCTGGTCACCGGGGGGATGCCAGCAGCGCACAGCTCCATGTGCCCACTTCAGTGCTCAGAAAAAACCCAGGCAGCTGCCTTTGGCTATCACGGACATCAGCACACGGTCATCATGTGGGAATATGGCTAGGGAATAACACAAAGGAAATACCAAGATGTGTTTCCAAAATGGCAGCAGACTATTTTCACCTGCGTTTTCCACAAGTTCTCCAAATATCTGGTAAAGGCTGCCTTTACTTAAGGTGCATAAGCACAGTTATTTGAGTAATGTCATTCACTCAATAATGTGCAGATATTACTCTTAAACAAATGGACAGATAATTGAGTTGCTATCACGTAGGACATTTCAAATCCTTGAGAAACCACTACAAATGCTATTAGACTGGTATGATGCGTAGTCCTCCCACAGTCGTTAAAGGCTATTTCAACTAACTACACATTTGAGAAATGGCCATTGGCACACTTTGGTTTGCTTTTTGTTAGAGTGACTTTTAGCCAGAAGACAAAGTGCCCCTATCTTTCTGTAGTTAAAAAACAATTGCCAGGGTTCCTATCTGAAAAGGCATTGAAAATAATTGTTCTAGCAGCCAATGGATCAGAAAGTTCTAGTTAATACAGATTTTCTTGCCATCTATAAATACCTTATGAGTGTATAAATGGTGGCAATTTTCAGAACTCACAGAGATTACAAGAGTATGTGTTCCAAAGTAATGCCACAGTCACCTTGTACTCATGTGGTACAGTGGAACAGTGGGGTTTGCCTGGAGGCATTGCCACCAGCTCAGGCTGACTTCAGGGGCCAAGGCTGCTCCATGGGAGCTGGTCAGGTATTGCTTCTGACAGCTTTCCAATACCTTTCTGCATTGTGGGAGATAAGGCTGGAGGAAGGAGGATTTCTTTATGAGATTCCGCGGTATGAGATAATGGTATGCTACAAATACAGTGTGTTTTGGAAATACAAAACATCAGCTATTTAGACAAGATTACAGAAGTAATGAGTACAGTAACAGAAAAAAAAAAGTCATCTGTATTTCCATAAATGTATAAATTAGTGCAGTTTAAATTCAAATGAAGATCTGTTTGCTGACTGTGATTGTTCTATTATTTATGTTAAACAGAAAGGTGTCATTAACAATGTAGGAACAAGATGCACCTAAAAGAAGATTGTATTTATAGTAAGAATAACCAAAATTAATAAAATACCAGTTTACTCACAAATTAACATTACATAATGGAATGTGCTCACACAGTCTTGCAGGAATGCTGTTTTAATTCATCATATGCAGTAATACAAAATGAGTCAGCTACAGTTATCCACATAGTATTAATTGTCTACCTTGCTCTATATTGCTTGTCTACTGTGGATGCTAGAGAGGGACTCTTCATCAGGGACTGTAGTGACAGGACAAGAGGTGATGGGTTCAAGCTTAAACAGGGGAAGTTCAGGTTAGATGTAAGGAAGTTCTTTACTGTGAGGGTGGTGAGGCACTGGAACAGGTTGCCCAGAGAAGTGATAAATGCTCCATCCCTGGAGTTCAATGCCCCGTTGGACAGAGCCTTGGGCAACATGGTCTAGTGCAAGGCATCCCTGCCCATGTCAGGGGAGTTGGAACTGGATGATCTTACGGTCCTTTCCAACCCAAATCATTCTATGATTCTATGATTCTACAGCCAGTATTTTCCTGTAATTTTGTCCTGCTAGAAAGGCTCGTGTAAAAGGGCACAGCTGCCCCCCAGCAAAAAAAAAAAAGCTGTGTCATGCTATGGAATTCATGAAGAGCAATGAAAACTATGCCTGTAAAAGAAAATGGACTGCAGAACACTTCAGCAGTATCACAAAAAGCTGTATATAGAAAGGATAAAATGCTTCATACAGAAAAGGATGCAAATCCAGGTGTTTTGTGACTGACACTACACAGAGTCATCTGCTGGCAGTGACAGTGAGATGAAAATTGCTTTGCAAAATGCTCTTGAGGATGCATATGTGAATAGCGCATTCACTGTCAGGAGAAAAGGATAGACATTGAAACTGGAGATAAGGTTTAAAAGTTATGACGGAAGTCACCGATACACTGAGTGGAACTTCATGCATTTAACAGTCAGTAACAGCATATTGGTAAGATTCTCTTTATTTTTATCTTACAGCTATGACTTGAGAACAGTCTGCAGCCAAGTAAAAAAACACCACAAAGATGAAGGGAGTAATTTCCATAAGGAAGGGGGCAAGCAAGGGACCTCAATTGTAGCAAGCAGAAGTACGGAAAACTGTGTAACAATAAAGAGCACAGTAAAAGACTGCCTGGGAAGAACATGCGGCCTCTATACCAGGTCTTCTTAAGAAGTTAGAGAAATATCTGGCTGCAAAGGTTGAGCACACTTCCCATCACTTGCAGGTGCTGGAACACCACTGCTGGCTCTGAAGCTTTAATGGACGTCTCACGCTATTAATGAAATGCTACTTGAAACTTGAGACAGTGAAAAGCCAGGACAAGACAGCAACTGAGCCATTCAATCACCAGTACGTCCTGCTATGGCAATGGGAATCTGTACCAGAAAGATGGGGATATACTGAATTTCACCTGTTAAAAGAATATGGGTTTAAGTGATTTCTTCAGCTCAATGAAAAAACATGCAACTACTGCATAGCCAAATGCCATTATTAATAGAAGCAAACACCGCTCTGGAGGAAATGCTCCCATTATCATCAATGGGTCAGTCTCTCAGTAAAGATATAGGATCAGGTCTTACAGCCATAAAAAAGAAAAAAGTTACTTTAATAATGCTTTAGATACACAAAAAGCAACTCAGAGTTTTCCACCCAGGTAGTTGACAGAAGTTTTCAATTTCTGCTCTACTACTGTAATACAAAACTCCACAGTGATTCAGTGAATTAGTATTTATACTAAATAATCAAGTGTTTGGGCTCCTCATTTAGAGGAGTTAAAGACATTAGGCAGCAAGGCACTTCACTCTACTGCATGGACAAACTCTGGTGTGTTTTTGCACTGCTGAACAGATTTTGCCCACCATCTATCCTTTAGGTAATAGATCACTCATGGAAGAGGAGACCAACCTCTTCTGGATAGCAGAAATCAAGAGTGCATCTGCCAGCTTGTAGAGAAATCCTTTTGGGAAGCAGCATTTTCCCTTGCCTGAGTGGGACCCAAGCTATCTCATAGAGTCTTGCTAGGGTTAGATTAATCCTATATATAGTTCAGGAGAACACAGTATTTGTTTTGTCTTCTACTGGATGATAGATAGGGTGCTTTCTCAGCTAGCATTCTGCATCCTCCAGAGAAGGAGGAATTTCCATGAGCTGACAGCTATGCAGTTGTTGGGAGACCGAGCTGTCAAAGGGTGATTCTTTAAAAGCCAGCTTTGGCAGCATTGTTGCCATGGGACATGGTACCAAGGAGCCTGGACAGCATGCAGAGGCGCAGGACATTCCTCACATTTGTAGTCTTCCCACGTGCTTTGTTACAATATGTTGCACTAGAACAATCAAGAACAACGTTTGGATTCACTTGGCTGAGCAAACAGATCACTGGGGAGGGAGCTGCAGGACTGTTACCATTTACCTCATGTGCTCCTACCTCCTCACCTTCACCATGACTTACATCCACTTCTGCCCTTCCTTCTCTACAGGGGAAAAGGCACCTGTTGAATTGTAAAAGGAGCATGGATTGGGTACCACAGGTTCAGATGACCATGACTGAAAATTGTTATTTTTTTCCCAGGCATATTAGTACTGCCTGGAAATTTATGCTGAACTACAGTAGCTGCCATCTCTCTTACAGTAAAGAATAGAAAGACACCATTTATTTCCCTGATGGACATTGTTCCCAGAAATATGCCAGAAATGCTATGCCAGGCAGGAGAGAAAGGGGAGACAGGGCTAGGATAAGTGCTTTGTAAACTGTTCTTTTTGTGGCTGCCCTGGGAAAATTAGACAATAAGACTTTTCCTTCTATCAGTCAGCGTTTTTAATAAAGTATGCTATTTTATCAGTTTGGCAAGAAAGCATCAGCTCCAGCAGTAGAAGAGAGGATGGCTCATGCCTTTTGCACTTACACAGCTATCGTTCAGTGGGTCTCATGGATCTAAAACCAGCTGCTGTGAGGTGCTGCAGGTGCTCCCATAGGCAGCATAAAAAAGGTTGCCTAAAGGAAGGGTGGGATAAAGCCTTTGGTAAATCATAGCTGTTAAATTGGTTTGTATTGATACAAAGGGTATAATGCATGTGCTGTTTTTTTTTCTCCCCTTCAAGTCTTTTACCAAAACTATACTTTTATTCCCTAAAAAAAGCTTTGAAAATGTGGTTTGATGCAGGTGAGTATTTTCTAAACAACCCAAGCCTGTTGCAGGGTAACAGGAGTTGCTTTTTAATATTTATCCTAAGTCTCCATTCCCCTTTTTCTATGGAGCCAGCTGACCAGCTGGCAGCCCCCGCAGGTATGGCAGGCTGTCCTTGCCTTTCATTGCCTCAAAAGCCCTTGCAAGCTCAGCAGTGAGAGGCAATGACATTTGTCTGTAGCATTTCTTGCTTTCTTAGTTTGTATTTCCCATTTCTTCCAGGACCCAGCTGCCTAAGAATGAATTCCCAGCTTTTCTTATCACTTAGGCATCTGTTGCCTTGATTTGTACATGCTTCATACATTTTTGATGTTAACTTTATATAAAACTTGTTATAGTGGAATTAGCTTTTACATCCACAAGAAAGAGACTATGGAGAGACGCATATCTCTGTATGTCTATGTATGCACACGAGTCAACAACTTTGTGGTTTCCCTTGTATGCAAGCAAAGGGCAAGCAGCTCTTTTGCCAGCTTCCTTGGCAGTAAGATTAGTGCTAGAGACAAACAGATTAATACATCACAAATGAAGCTATGAAAGATTTGTGCTAGGCTTTTTTACTGAGTATCTTAATGTGGTGTCCTAAGTGTCAGAGTTAAGAAGCTATAAAACATGAAAAGATACACAGATTTACTTCAGTATTGATGTTTCCAAGGCTGGTGGCAATTCCTCACTGAACAGATGTGAAATTATCTTTTTTTCTTCAAAAGAAAAGCTGTTTGCCCCTCCACAGGGGAACAATGGGTAGGCGCTTCCACAGGAAACAGGTAGCATACAGGGAGTGACACCAGTTGGAAGGCTTGAGGAGGCAGTGGGTGATCGGTTTGTTCTATTTGAACTTGCGCCGTTCCTTAGAACTCAGCGGAAAGGTTTCTGGATGCCTGTAATGCACCAGCTGAAAACAAATGAAGACATTGAGCAGTTAAGGTGCAGTTTAGAAAGGGACAGAACTCCTACTCCCCACGATTTCACTGACAAGTAGTGCCACCGCATACAATGGGGACCAGAGGCAGCACAGAGGGCACTGCCTTCGCCAGATAAACCATCAGGAGATGAAGCACCCTTGATGCCACCTAACTGTTGATGGTGAGAGACCGCTGAGAGAAGTGAAATGGTGAGAGAAGCTTCTATGGGAATTCAATGTCTCTTTTCTGAACGTCAATAAGAAGACCAGAGCCTGTGTATCCGCTGTTAGGATCATGTACCCTTGTAGTGCAAAAGCTGTTCCTGATGTCCACTTCAAACGTCTCAAGCTGCAACTTCTGACTGATTTATCCTCAACACCTGATGAGAAGAATTTGTCTCCATTTTGTAACTGCCTTTCAAGTACCCGTAAGTTGTTATTAGCTCTTTCTTAGCCTTCTCTTTTCAAAACCAAACAAGCCTAGCTCCCTAAACCCCCTTCCATGCCATGTACTTCAGACCCCTAATCACCTTGGTCATCCTTTGCAGCCCAATGTCCAATTTCTCAATGTCTCTCTTGAGCCGGGAGCCACAGGCTGAACACAATATGCCAGGTATGGTCTCACCAGTATCCATTAGAGGAAGATAATAATTACTTACCATTTACTGGCCATGATCATCCTAGTGCAGCCCAATATATTATTTGTAGACTGTGAAACTAGTTTGTTGGTTCCTATTTCATGCGTACATATGTAGAGTTTGTACATTGGCAAATCTCTGCAGTTCTCCTTGTTGACCTTCATGGAGTTGCTGCTTCAGTTGCACTGAAGCCCAGGACTCAGGTTTCACCGGGTTGGTCTAAATTCTTCCAGAGATCAGCATGATTCAAAATGAAGATTACCACTTCAGCATATTCCAAGCACAAAGAGCAAAAAGGTAGATCAAACTGAATTACTGCTGTTAAAAACAACAGCAACCTTCTACACATAACACAAACCCTTCTATCCTTTCCCCTGATTAGCAGGAATTCTACCAAAAAGTAGCTCCTCCCATTTAGTTCTATGGGAATCACACAGCTCTATTCAGCTCCAGGAAACTATGCCTAGTTACACCAGTAAAAGATCTTGTCCACCTTTTCCTCTGCTGTCTTGAAACTGATGGGTACAACTCTTCTTTCCCCTCTCTTCTCCCCCCCCAAAATCCTGAGGACTTGTGATGAGCTGTAAATTACTATTTGTTATGTCCTGCAGCTGTTCTGCACCGATGCTCATACTTCTGTCTGATCTGTTGATATTTCAAAATCTCTGTCATTCTACATTTGATAGCAATTTATTATTTTGTGAAAATCCAACTGCTTTGGTTTTAGGAAGACAAAGAAACACTGGCAGCCACGTTACTGGAAAGGAATGAACATTGTCTTGATACATTGCTAGGAGAAGTCCATTCACATAGTGAATATGCTTGCCAATACCTTTTCTGACCACATAAATTCAGTTCTATTTGAAATGTGTTTGTGAAATCAATTGAAGAGGGTGCCTTTCACAGTATAACTGCAAAGATAAAATCAGCACTGAAAGCAGATAGCTGTCCTTGATTTCTCTGGAAGCAGTAACAGAAAAGTATATTTCATGCATTTTGGCGCTTCTGTTTCTTACCGCTATAAATATATATAGATTAACTAGCACCTCAAAATGCTCATATTCTTATTCCATTCAGGATCAGAGAAGAAACACCACAAGGTAATGAGCACAGTAAGTGGAGATGGAAGAAATTCTATTGTGCATGTAGATAAAATACAATTATTTAATGGCTATGGCCATAGCTTCAGAGGATAGATAGATCTAAAGTATAATTATCTGCTCACTTTAACAGATGCGTTAATGACAGGAATGGAATTCTGTACTTTTTTATGCCTTTCAGTTACAAGCAATATAAAACAACTTTTTTTTTTTTTTTTAACAGCAGGAGGAAAAGCATTATCTTATTTATTTTTCACAAGAGAAAGATGTCTTTTTAAAGATAACTAATGGTTTCAGTCACTTCCACCTATGGGTACTTTTCTTTCGAGATATGAAAGAGAAAAGCTTGGGGAAGCACCTGGGAAATAGCAGTATCTGAAGTATTGTAAGTAGGGCACACCACACCATGAGTCATTTCTCACAATCTCTCCAGAAACAGTGAAGGTGACAAGACAGTGTCATGTGGGAAGTGTTTTGTTACAAACAGGAGAACTGCTCTGTGTATAAAACAAGAGTATAATCCAACACTGAAAACCAAAGGGCATATATCAGTAACTGTCATATTTTAACAGCTGTCTGAAGTACCAGATGACTTTTGCTGCATATATTGTCATCTCCTGATAAGAAAGGGAGATATCAACATACAAAAGTAATGAAGCAGTGACACCATGATTTAAAAATACTTTAATAGCGCAACATGGAATTCAAGATCTACCCAACCAACAGAAAATGCATCATTTTCCTTTCTTAAATTTGGCAGGTATGAATGTAAAACTTGCCTTTTTTATCTCTACTATCTTATCCACACATAAGGCTTGCCTTCCAGTACAGGCTGTTTTAACAGGATTAGTTATTGAAGTCAACAGGAAATAAATCACTGTTTCTAAGATTATTTTTTCTTTTTGGTCTTAGTACATCAAGTTAAAACTTTCTTAAACAAAAAAAACGAAATCAAGATACAACTAGTCAATAACCATATTAACCCATGTTAGGCATTTCTTCCCCTGTAAATCAGAAAAAAACACTTTTAAAATATAAAACACATTAGACAATATTATTTTTAGATTAATACTTTTTAGACATTAGTCAGGTACTGCTTTCGTTTTAGTTTACAGGCTATCACTTAACTTTGCCCCACTTAATGTATAACTGAAGGCCAATTCCACCCTGTCACTGCTGTGAGCACAGAGTCATTCTAGTGAAATCACTCCATGCCAAAACATGAGCAAAACAAAAACCAACCCTTTGTGCATTTATATTTCTTCCCATTTTGTGTACAAATAATTTTGTCAGAACTGGGTACATCTAAAAATTTTTACAATTGACTATTGATTATTTTATACTGTGTAGTGCCCAGTGCCCCTGGGGATCTATATGATGGAATTTCCTACATGCATCTGCTGAATATTACCATTTGGCTAATTAGCCATTCCTTAACAGAAGGGAAATCATTATTCCAACCTTTTTTTTTTTTTTCCAATTCACAAAACCATACAGACATGTCTATGCTGCATGGGCACATCGATCCCCATTACGTGCACAATGTGAGATTAATTAGTTGTATAAAAACCTGTTTCTGCCTAATGATGCTTTTGCATATTGCAAATTGCAGCAAGTCTGGTTTTTTATAGCTTTGCATAGGTAATTTTACCTCCTCTTTCTCTCTTCTTAACCTTTTCCCCCAAGATACCACTTAACTTTTTTTTTCTAATTAAATTGCTACACTTTGTGTCTACATATAAGTTTTATCATTTTGCCTCCGTTTCAAAATCATGACCTGCACTAGCTGTATGCCTCTGAAACAATGAAACTGCCAACAACAGGGCAAAAATGTGGCATTTAGCCCACGAAATTTGGAAGCTGCCCCCAAAAGAGATCATATTGATTATGGACATCTGTGTCTTCAAAGTGAAATGCAAAATCCACTTCTCTGCTCAGTAACGCCACATTTATAGACAAACATGCATCATATAAAACAAACATTGCCTTGCTCCCATTGAGTAGAGGAAGAAGAAGGATCCTTCTGTGCCCATTTTATTTTTGGGAAGCAACTGGACTGTACAGCAGAGAGACGCTCTATATAAAGATCTAGAAATGTGGAGATTTTCCAAGACTCTGAGCACACTGTGCACTGCCAGTGTGGTAAATGAGGCAGTTTCTACTATTAATGCCTTGCAATTCTAGCCACATATTCAACTGAGCCCCCACCTGAAATCTGCCGATGAAAGCAGCTTTAGCTTGCACACAGCAGTGACAGGGAATGAAGATACACATCAGGCTGATGAGCACTAAGAAGTAAATTGTTTGCCCAGATGGAAATCAATAGCTCTCTTCACTCTCTTCATTCTTTGGCAAGACTGGGAGCTTTGAATGGCAATTAAAGCTTACCCAGCTGCCAAGTGTCCTAATTACACACACAAGAAATGACACATTTCTCCTTCTACCTGAAACATCCCTTGTGTCACATTCATTAAGCTCATTACAGTCAGGCCTCCTGCTGTTGCTGGAACTCAGGTATTTTTCTTAACACACCACCCCGAACACTTGCTGGCACCTGGCTCCACCAGTGAGTGATCCTCCCAATGCCTCATGGATGCTCCACAATGGCCACCAGCCCCGGTGCCACACAGGGATTTTCACAAGACACTTCCAGGTAGCATCTCCCCTCTCCCTCTTCCACCTCCCACTGAATTTTTCTGCCCACCCTGCCCTGCACATGGCATTTTCCATTAATTATTGCCTCCTGCTACTGGTTCTTCAGCCACTTGTTTCTTTTACTCACAATAAACTTCCCCACATCCTCTCCAGCCATGGGAAATGAAACCCTATCTTCAATGTATTTTGTCAATACAGTGTTCATCCATCCATCCTTTGTGAACTGAAGCAGGCCTGGGTTCTAAGAGGAAAGAACAGATTTTACTTCCCTTGTAAGGGACAATATAGCAAAAATTTATCAGAAAGCTTCCTAATCTCTTTAATGTTACTGGCACATTTTTGGTGCAGCATAAAGAAAAGTAACTAATGGACAGCAGACCTTGAGCAGTGCAAACAGTTTCCAGGAACAACTCCTAATTGTCCTTGACCAAAATATGTGTTTTTTTCAGAAGCCTTTAATAATTCAGGTCTGAATATAATGCAATTAGTGAAGCCGTGCAAAGTATAGTGAAGAAAAAAGCCACTAAAAGCTCAGGCCTCTTATTTTATCATCATGATTATCACTTTATTATGAATTAAATTGGGAAAACCCATTAAGAACCCGTGGATCCAAGAGCAAGGCCTCCAAAAGACATAGGTAAAATAGCATCCCACTTAGCCTGAAAGCTCAAGACCACAATGCCCAAATATTGTGCTGTATAAATCACCTTCTGCTTGCACAAAATAGTTAGATTATCTTAATCAAGCCACAAGATAAGCTGAACAGCCTCCATCTATATTCACCAATGAACAAATAGGCTAAGGGAGAAAAGAAAGGGTAAGACAGAATCCATCATTCCACTTGAGTCATCCATAACCTTCCAATTTACACATGAACTTCTAAGGAGGAGGAAGGTTAAAAAGAATACTATGAAAATTGAAGAGTATTAACTTGTGTTATGCTCTTTTTTTCCCCCTGTCTCTTTAATAGCACTTGGATTCTCATTTATCCTCAGCCCCTGCTGCACTGCTCTGGAAGGGCAGAGAGGCCTTAAAGGCAGGTATAAATGAATTTACAGGGCCAGAGAAACAGAAGGGCACCTTAGAGCTGCTGAAAATGATCACTGTCATCAAAGAAAGAGAAGTTATTGAACAGCTGGTACTACTGTTGATGCAAGAAATAGTTAAACATTTCTCTTCATCTAGATGCAGTATAGTTCGCCAACAAATGACATATATGTTCTTCTTTTGATACAAATAATTCATATGCACATAGACTACCACAAATAAAGCCTGATGTGAATCTTCCTTAAAGGTGAAAAAGACCATCTGTCCTTCATCAACCAGGCACAAAAGGGATGCCTTGCTATCTTATAAAAGCTGCCAGTCAATTCTAGGTGTGGGATCATCTATCACAATAGGCAATGCGCCATCTCCCACACTGGTGAAGCGCTCTGTAATTTGCTGCGCTGTGAACATGGTTTGTAATTATATTTGATTGGGCCACGGCACATAAATTACACAGTTTTTACATTTAGCTGCTACCACAGATTCTTGCCTAGCATTACCTCCTAGGAGCTTTTAGTAGGGATAAAGAGGGGGGAAAAAGAGATATAGTCTGATCTTTTAAAGAGACTATTTTTAAAAAAGAGGTTTAGGGGGAAAAACTAACAATATCTATGTGGGGGTATTATTATTATTATTATTACTACTACTACTACTACTGCTACCACTATCACTTTGTTGTCAGTTCAGCTGGGCAACATCCCAATAGGACTAGCAAGAGAAGAAAAACTACACCATTGAACATTTTTTTCTGGCAGCATATCTCTAGGTATGTTAGAATAATACCAGTTTTCTTCTCCTGTTTGCAATGATTTGTAAGCACAGCTGTCAGGCAATATTCTGGTCTGGAAACCAGATCCATAGAAACAGTAGCTTATAACCTGCTATGTACATGTTGGGTGCGATACTTGGTCATACTTGCTGTCTATTGTGACAGATACTCACCAGGACACAAAGCAAAAAGCCCCCTCCTGCAGAGACCTCGAGGATGGAATTTGAGGAGACAGATCCTAATCATAGCACAGGAGTACATACCCTGTGATTCCCCGGGGTTTACTGTCATTGAGGAACCGGCGGCTGAAATGGCAACACAGCAAGACCATCCTCAAACACTGATCCCAGGGAAAAGCTGAATGATGGAAGATTTGCAACTATTTAATCCATTTTGGCCTGGAAAGAATTTTAGAAGAATGAGAAGCTTGAATCAAAACTTGAGTAAGCCTAAGGCTATCCTGACATGTTTGTGAACTAAATTCCCTCGCGACACTTCTCTATTATTTCAGTTCTTGGATCATCATTCTTTGCATGCTGGGACCGACAATGCCTTTTATTGTAGCCTGCCCTATTTTCCTCCTGCACACAAAGGGAAAGGTCCCTTGGTGAATGCCAGGGGCAAATACTACTTTCTCAAAACGTTACATGGGAGAGCTATGCTTTGGCTTTTGTTGGCATACTGTAATCTTCAGCCACACTGAGAGTAGGCTGAGTCATTCATAAATATGGCCTTTGGACTTTAAAGGTCAGCTGTGAAAAAAAAAAAAGTTAACACAGAACCATCCTGGCAAATCCAAACATATCACAAATAACCCACCATGGTAAACACTCCACCCATAACTACATAATTGCAGACTGCTACTCCACAGGCTACAACGAGCAGCACCAAAACAGGAAAAGGTGGTGGAGATAAGGTGGTCTTGGAAAGGTTTAGGAAAATCTGTGATGTTTTTCACATACCATAGCTCAGTGAAAGAGTTTTCAGAAATGCCTGACAAATGATTGGAAGAATAGGTGGACTTCTGCAACAGGAGGTAAGCTTAGGAAAGAAGCAGCAACATGCAAAGGATCAGCTTGTGAATGAGAAGCCTTGCAGTGAAACCACAAGAGCCAGCTGTGAATAAGAGAATAACATTTGAGACATAGAAAAGAAACACAAACTATTTTCCAAAGATAATGAAGAATTCAAAGTCTTTCTGGGGCTTAAGGGTATTTAAATGTAAATGAGCTTCCCATACCCAACCCAAAATCCAGAGCTACTTAGAAACTGTTGTGCTATTTTCTGTTGAGTAATCATAACTTTTAAGAACCCAGTGCAGTCTAACACAGAGCTGTGAGTATGGTGTCTGGGTGTGTAGGGGATTGTCTCCCATTAAAGAGTGTGGATGTCTACTCTAAATGATATAGCACCTTCACAGCTGGGTTTTGTGTGCATCTTAGTTGAGAACAGCTCCCTTGTACATGTACCTGAACTCCAGCATTCACTGTGAACTTGTTATTTTTATGAAAGTAAAATTAGAAAAAGTTAGAAATACATAGAAAGAGTGTCATGGGGTTGTGCTGAATGAGAGCCATAACAGATTTTAAACTTTATGACTGGAGTTGGAGCTGATGAAAGGCTAAAGGCTGACAGGCAGAAACCAAAGTCCACTCAGCTGACACACGCAGTAGTGGAGAGAAATTGTCTCCAGCCTTTCGAGTGAGAGCAGGAAGGCAATGCTGAGCTGTGCAGAGCACTCATGTGCAACGAATGGATCCTCATGTTCCTCCTAACTCCCTTCCTCCTGCTTTGCCCATGTCAGCAGCCTCCCCACCTCTTCCTCCAATCAAGCACTCAAAGCTGGATAACTTTCAGTTCCTTCATTTCCTTATCCCTTTGTCCTCCCAGAATACATCTAGGCTCCAATATTTCTTTCTCTACAACTCTAAGAAGTCTAGGCTGACCTGGTCATGGATGGTGTCCCTTCTGTCACTCTGGCACACAGCCACCCCACCTCACTGGCTTAAAATGTTGCTTTGAAGTTGACCAATTCTGGGATCCCTCAAAACCGTAGCTCCTTATGCTCCTTCATCAGATTTGGGTTTCTTGCAGCAAGCCAGTGGGAACCATCCTAGGTCTCTCTGGCCTAGGTATAAACATTTTTACCATCTGCAGATCTACTCTATTCTCCTCCTTTGAAAACCCAGCCCTGGTCTCATCAGACTCTAATACCATCTCTAACATACACATCCCTGGTGCTCCTTTCAGGCTCAGCCAGACCGATTTTTTTATACCTTTCCTATGCACCACCTCTCCATAAGGAAATGTTTTGCTAATTCCGCTCAGTTTACCACATCTTGTCTTTTAAATCCCTCACCAAACTCATTCTCGCCAGCCTGCTTACAATGCAAACAAAGTAATGCCCTGTTGTTTGCTTTAGCTTCTCAAGAAATTATGTCACACTGCAAGGGATCTTAACCCATCTCCTGGGCACATGCAGGCAGGGCTGCCAGAGGAGATGGCTGGGGCAACAGGACAGGTTCCTGCACATATGGAAAGGCTGAGGAGGAGCTAAACACCTTCCCCCATCTGCCCTGCTCAGATGATGGCCACCACGGTCCCCAGCCAGAGACAGTGCCCAGACCCCAGAGCTGCTGCCTGTGGTCTGGCCCCTGCTCTCCATCCCCTCTTCTGCCAGAAACACTCAGCTGTTAGCCTTGATTAAATTTGGATTATCAAGCAATCTGTCCAGGAAGCTTGTGCCATCTCCAATAAGAGAATTTCCCTTAAAGCAGATTTCTGGGCACCGCCAGTTTACCAAAGGGAAGGCCATTTCTTTTTCCAAGTGGTATGAAAATGAGTGGATTTAGCAATATTTGTTTCTGGCATTTGATAAATATTTACTTGCACCAATTAGGAATGATACTATTCCTATGCCCAGTTAACTCTGCAGAGCGTGATTAGCATATGTATCATTTTAGCTGACTGATTCTTGGACCAATATAAAGAGCCAAAGCTCAAAGCCTTCACGTGAACATACGAAGATGGAAATTAAAACAAGAAATTATACACATTTTAAAATATTTGGGCTACTGAATTTCTCTTGCAGATATCTAAATACCAAAATGCCTCACACCATACTGCTAACCTGTTTCTACACCCAAAAATGCACCAGAGCTATTGTCATGATTTCCACATTTGAGAGCTTGTTAAAGTTTGCCCTTGTAACTTCTGCAGATTATAAAAAGGCCTATCCCTAGTGAAATATGTATTCCATTTGTATTTAAAGTTGTTTTTGGAAACTAGACCTGGACTTATTGTATACAGAAGAGTGCAAAGGCTTATGGCTGACGTTTTCCTAAGCTTCAAATTGTATTCCAATGAGCTAAGATCTTACTTTAACTTGCTTATAAGGATTTCTTTGCGATGTGGCTGTAGTGTGTTATTCTATTTGGAGTTAATGTCTTGCAAAACAAGGTATCATCAAAGACAGCAATTACACAGCCTGTTTCCTCCTCTGGTACCAGAGCAGCAGTGAGGAGCTGTGCTGGTGATGCCTGAGTGTGTTTATGAGATAAATTGTCATCAGGAGAGAAAATGGGGGAAGAAATAGCAGCAGAAGAAGATGAGTGAGGCAGTGCAGGAAGAGTGCTCAGCATCCATCCACATAAGCCACACCATCGGGTAGCTCTGGCTGGAATACTGCAAGACATGTATGGCCTCAGTAATGAGGAATAAGATGAGCATCCCCACCAGGCAATAAATGAGCTGAAAATGAATAACAAGCACTGGATACATGCTGTAAAGCTAAGCAGAGATGTATTGATACTATTAGACATCCAGTCTAGGCAAGCTGATTCAGACTAGAAACTCTTCTGGAAGCACAGATCTTTGTATTTTAATGCACCAAAGGAAAACTCTGATCTAGGCAATCACCTAAGAGCATATGCTGGCATCTTCAAGCAATATTTCAAAGTTGCAAAGCAAGGGTGGTAGCCCAAGGACATGTCATTCCCCACAGAGGAAAACTGAGCTTAGGGAGAGCAGATCACCTTTCTGCCTTGAGCCTACACAGCCTGGTGCTGAACCAAGGGGAATTTTCCTAGGAAAGAACTGAGCAGGAAGGTGAGGTTAAAATAACCAGCAGAAGCAAAACTGCTGGGACAGGATTGGTATGTTTCAGATGCCATCAGGAGAAGCAGGTTAGGGCTGGGTACCTTCTCAAGCATTAATATCCCTGCAAGAATCTGACCTGAAACACAGGGTTCAGCACTGCTCTAATGCGTTTTCTGTGTGTCTGGGTCTAGGCAAGAAAGAAGTCAAATCCACTTCTGCAACACAGCAAGGGTCTTCAGCTGGGACAGCTTTCCCACCCCTCCTGCCCAGTGCCCAGGCAGTCACCTCGCAGCTCAGCACACGCAGGTACAAGATGGAACTTGTTTTTTAAAGTCAGGTGTCAAAAGGACACCTTTTATTTTTTCCTCCCAAAATGGAAAACTCCGTGTGTTAGAATCAAATAATTGAAAAGTTACTAAAACAAGAGAGTAACAGTTAATCCTGCCCAAAGGGTAGATATAAATTCTCCCTGGAAAGGCTACTGCATGTGGGATTATATACAGTGGTTAACCAAATATTCAAGGGACATTAGTAATTACCATAACATCCCACCACTTACTCTGTCAAATGCACAATTTATGCAACAAGCCCACAACTTCAGAAGGATTTTGTTTACTTTAAAAATAGTTGGAAATACATTTCCAACCCACAGTTTTTTTTTTTCCCCAATACCTTCCTGTACCCACCTCAAAAAAATGCCTGAAAGGCTTCTAGGTGTTTTGTGCAAACACCTTCTTTTACAGTGATTTTTCCCTTCAGCTGTTCATTTCCAACACACGGTATGCCAGAGCACACAGCTCCCTCATTTCCCTGCTCTCCTCGCAGAGGTGCTGGACACCAGCATGAGATGGCTGCTCCCAGTGCCCATTCCCAGCTCCAGAGCCCTCCTGATGCCCTATCAGCTTTCACACTTAGGATGGAAGAGCATCATAGAGAAGGCTGCTGCACAGAGATCAACCTTTATGCTGCAGTTTCTAAACATTTAAGTTTTATTAAAAGCACACTTCTGGAAGCAGAAATACCTCTGGGAGTTATAGATGGGTGTCAGAGGCAACCAGCTCCCATCACTCTGCTACACCAGCACCATCACTCTAAGCACCAGAGGTGTGCTGGGATATGGGAGAGAGTTCAGGCTTCTCTTAGCTGCTTTGCAGTTTCCACTGGGAGCCTGTAGCTGTCAGTGGGAAACCTCCCAGCCCTCATCATTCCAGGCTGCACAGTCAGGAAACTAAAATTAAGAGCAGCCTGGCTTCAGTCACTGTGCTCCTTCATCTCCTGGCCCTAATGCTGCACTGAGCCACAGCTTCTGCAGTGCTTTGTCAGCCAGGCAAGTGGCCTGCCTAGACTTGTTGTAACCTGTAGCCCCATCATAGAACGGTTTGGGTTGGAAAAGACCTTAAAGATCATCTCAGTAACATGTCAAACCATTAATTGAACGGTTTGGTCATTAAATCAGGTACGTATTTTGGTAACTTTCTTCTTTCTTACCTACACTCTGGGAGTACCAAATGCTTTTACGGACAAGGGATCAGGATGAACCCCTAATAATGCCATGCTTTTATAGCAGAACTTCAGTTTATGATGGGATTTATTTAAGACTGTGGAACATTTATAGTTAAATGGAATTGAGCAAGAGGATAAAAATAAACTTTGTAAGTTCAGCTTATGCTATTAACTGACTCAGTACTGGTAACCAAGAAAAAAGTAGTGTTTGGTAATAAAATTTTCCCTCATCAGTATAGCTTAATAAACACACTGAGCTGAACTTGACTGGTCTGAGCTCATGCTCACTGCCTTCACCTGGACTTTGAATGCGGCTCACAATCCCTGCCTTTCCCCGGTGCAGGCACGGAGCTAGCTTCTCTTTGAAGCATGGATCACTGGCGGGAATGGACCTTGGCAGCACAGAAGGCAGCTACTATGCCCATCCCCTGTCTGGTCCCTGGGCATGGTGGCACCTGCAGAGCTCTCCTGGGCACCCCAGTTCCACCTCTCTTCCCACTTAGTTCCCTTCTGGCCTCGCTGGCTTTGCAGCTGAGCCATTACTAAGCCTTACAAGGTTATTCTAAAAACCCAGTCTCACAGAGATGTGGGAACTGAAAACCCCACTTTACTCATATTTGTCTTCCCTTGGCTGTGTGCATGCCAAAGGGCTATCATCTTCCTTCCCAGCTGAAATAGAAATTCAGTAATGCATACTTGGGGAGTTCTGTCACTGCAGCAATCATTTAGTAGTGACAAATAAGCCAGGGTAGAAAACAAACAGATGGAAAATGGTCATCCCCATCCATGGACACCTGCTCTGGGATGCAGTTTGTAATGATCTATATACAATTCAGAGACAAAATTACCACATGTTGGAGAGTATCTGTTCAGATCTGGGAATGAGTTACAGGAAAGACATAATGGGTACCAAAAATGGCATCAAATCAACAATCTAAAAAGTACCTAGTTGTAGTTTTTAAAATAACAGATTATCTCATTCATAAAAAAGCTCTTGAGTTGAGAAACAAAATAAGGGTAAAAATATCCCTTAAAGAAGACTAATACGAGCCCCAGCACTCTTCACCCCCAGGGATGAGTCACTGACACCACAAGCTTCCAGGGCTTATTCAAATGTGGGTTATGGAACCTGAATTTGTTCAAAAGAAGCATCCCTCTGAATAGGAGTAAGGTGGAGTCTTCCTTGCATTTAATTTCCAGGCTCAGAACTTAATGCATTTAAACAGAAGCTTAGAATTGAAAAGATTTTTAAGGCTTCTGAAGCCCATATTAATTTGAAAACCTGCATGCTCAATACTTCCAAAAGGCAAGGCCAATCTGATTGTATGCCTAAACAAGATTTTAGGAGCATAATAATATTGGCAAGCATTCCAGTCTTAGTGTGGTTTACAGTAAAAAGAGAACTACCTTTGCAAGGAGATCTTGCATCTGTTCCCTCATCAAAATTAGCCTTATTATTTCTTTTTTATCCCAAGAAAGAGCAAAATGATGTAAAGAAAACATGCCTCTGTTCAGCAGCACCTTCCCAGCAAAAGTTTCCAGTCTCCACATCATTCTGCCAGGATGCATTTTGATTCCTGCATCTCAAAATGCAGATAGCCAAAGCACTCTTATGTAGGAATGATGCAGCCTCATGCTATGATGTCACTACCTGGTAAAATTTCAGCTGTTTCAGTACATAAGTAGTTTTATGACTGGGATTGCTGATCTTTATTTGTAGGAAGGCCAGATTTAGGTTTCCATAAACTGAATAGAAAGGATTCTTTCCCTACTCTACCCCTCTCCTCTTGAGTTTAAGGGGAAGCAGAATAGGTGCTAAATATACGTTCATTCATAACTTTATCTTTCTGAGTGGACATAAGTATGTTAAAACAGCTCACTAGCTTTCCCCCTCAGAATAGAAAAAGCCTAAGTAGATGACAAAATGTAACAATTAACTTACAACTTTTGAACAAATGGAACAGATATTATTGCAGTTTTGGACTTTGAATGGAATCCTTGATTTCCGACAACGTGTTTGAAACAATTTAATAATGGGAAGGAAACAAAAGCAGATGTAAACACGGAAAGAAAATTGAAAGCAAGTGTCCTGAATTTTGGTGGCAATTACATAAAACAAGTGTCACACAATACATATAAAAGCCTTACTGCAGGCTTTAACATCAGTTATAAACCATCATTCCAAAAATAACTTTCCTGACAAAAAAAAAAACCAACATATCCACAGGAGGAACAGAAGACTGTTATATAAAGGGAATCACAGTCAAAAAAGAAGGTCCAAGAACAGTGCTCTATTCACAAACCCTGAATTACTTCACCTCTTTCATGGAAAAATACAGGGCAAGTATAAGGCTTTCTTGCTTCATGTGGTTACAACTATAAATACATCTTCTGCTGACCTGCCGGTATTTACTGATGCCAGGCAGATGAAAGCTGAATTCTTGCCAGCCTTTTGCTCCTGTTTTTGATAACTGGTACATGTCCATGGCCCTTAGCCACAGCATGGTTCAAAAATTACTCTGGGACTCTTACCAATGATGGTGGCTATTTTTATAATCCACTTGTCTAGATCTGTGGGATTTTCCCCATTAGATAATTGCTATTTTAAGATTAACTGGTCAGCCAACACAAAGATGTTGAGATGAGATCCAAACTTTGCACTGTTTGCATCACCACCTTGAGTCAGTAATCGGTAATGCTGTAAAACAACTCATTTTAGCCTCCTGAGGCAAAATTAGCCAAACCACCACCATGAACAGACCTGGCCCAAATTGAAAAACCATTCATTGTGTTCCAGATGCTGCCCACTGCTATTTGGCAGGGAAAGCTAGTTAATCCTGTATCAAGATGCAGGCAACACTGCTTCTAACTCACTGTATCAACCACAGGGTCATTGGGAGCTTGGAAGCATACCAAGACTTACCTTTGCTTGCAAAGAGTGCCACAACAGACGGACATCCCTGCTGCTGCTGGCCATGACTCCAGCTTTGAGCAATGCAGATTGTGAAAGAGTTCGGCTGGATGTGAAATAGATTGTTATTTTTCTTCCTGCACAGAAAGGAATGGATTCAGCATGTGCCAGATTTGCCACTTTAGGGTTTTTTTTTGACAGCTTGCAGCCCATTGTTTATCAAATGGCACACTGAACCTTCTGGGTCGTGTTTTCTTTGACTTAAATACTTCTCTTAAACCAACACACTGTGTACAATGGCAAACAAAAAAATGCATTTTAAGAAGTGGGACTTCTATGGAAATAAATTTTACCACTTCCCGCACATATTACATGCTAATTTGCCTAATGAAATTAAACACTCGCATGTAATTCTGCTGCTCTGTACTCCAGATGAACTCAGAGCCTCCTTTCAGTGTGACAGCTGATTACAAACATGTTGCAATCACCTCACCTTCTTACCTTGTTTTTTGAGAGAGATGTTATATTCCTTTGTCCATTTGCCTTCTGACCTTTTCTGTTTCCTCCAGCTGGAGCAAAACTGTTCCTAAAAATTCCTGTGTCACCCTCCCCACTGGGGGGGTTTGGGGCAAGCAGATGTGGCTGAGGCAGAAGAGCAGTGTCCCTGCCCACCCCTGGGTGATCCTCTACCACATATGTTCTGTGCCATCACCGAGCAGGGTTCCTGCCAGCAGCTCACCGGACACAAGAAGGTTTTGGCTGGACCCCAGCACACTGCAGGATGGCAACTCCTACAATTTGTTAATAGCTTGAATACTTTGGAGAATTATTATCACTGCTTCAATCAATCCTCCCTGCTGCACCGCTGCTGTGGCTATCAGAACCCATCTCATCAGTCCTCTCTGGCAAAGCCAGTTTAGTTTTTGCCCTTGAACAAGGGAAGCAAACAAGAACTCCATGTGCAGGCTGTAGAGGTGTCAGGAGAGCTGTGCAAGAGCCTGGCAAGGGCAGGCAGCTACACAACACCCTATCAGAACCACCACACTGCTGCCTTCTGTGCATCCCTCTCATCCCCCTCCACTCAAACCCATCTGCAAAGAGAAACAAATCAACCCCTAAAATCCCTCTGTGTGAACTCTCAGACTATCCCAGGGGTTTTCAGATAGCTGCAGCCTTCCCAGGCTAACAGCTTTGCTGTAAAGGATTAATGCACCAAAGGGTTCAAATATTAATGAACATCACAGAATGAGGCCAGGAGACACGCAGAGGCTGCTAGGGCTGTTACACTCATTTAGCATTTTTAAACAGCACCATCTCCTCCTAAAGACAACATTCAGGTTAAAAAAACCCAAACAACAACAAACCACCCCCAAACAAAACCAATATTCTTTGGAACTTACAATTTTCTGTAGAGACCATTTCTTCAGGCAGCCAGGTGATCTGTACTTGCAGAAGGTCTGCAGTGCTTCTGCATTGTTGGTTATTTTAAGCACACTTCAGTTGTAAATAAGACCTCTGGTGACTAAAATGGCGTGGGATCAATGTGTAAAGCTCTTTCAGGCTGTTTTTGAGAACATCTGAGAAAGACTGTTTCACTTTTTCCTCTGCACAGTCAAGTTTCCTCTGCTTCTGTGTACAGCAACAGAGCAGAGAAAACACCGGGAAGATGCTGGAAAATATGATAGTAAAACTGCAAACACTGACAGGTGGACTCAGAGGAGGCAAACTGCTCCATATTCTGTTTTTAATGGACTAGAGTTGATATTGAAGTGCTGCCTTCCCCTCCCATCTAAGAAGGAGCCTATTTATAGAGCCAGGAGGAAAGGATGAGGGGCAGAAGCAAAGAATGTGGTTGGCATTTCACTTGAGTTCCTCCAAGCTCTGTGGATTCACTCCAGTCACCCCTGCCTGCCTGCCTCCCAAACCCTCCCAGCCCCAGGAAGCACAGGGACCCCTCCCGCAAGCAGGGAAAAGCTGGCTCAGCCACAGGATTCACGTGGGTTCATCCCCAGGAGCAGCTCAAATGCTCTTTCCAGATGTGACCTTTCTGGGCTGCAGCTGGCCACTGAGCTGTCCATTTCAGCTGGGCACAGCACCCAAACCACAGCTTGGAGGCCAGCCAGAGAGGATGGCTTGGGCAGCACTAGGAAGGGTGTCAGTAGCACCTCCCCAGCACTAACCCGTCTTTGGGGAAGACACTGTGTTTATGGGGACCAAGCCAGGCTGTACCCACAACCCTGCTGAGCTCACCATGCTGCTGGTGGCTGTGCAGGGCCAGAGGCAAAAAGAGTATCCCAGTTTCTTGGTAGGAACATTTGAGGGCAATTTGAGAGAAACGTATCCCATTTGGAAAACTCTGTGTCACAGGGATGTTGTGATCCAGGGAGGGAAGATGGGAGGCGGAGGTGCAGCATTACACAGGCAGGAGGAAAAGGCTTGGTAGTGCTTTAAGCTCCACAAGATCTGAGCTGCTGCATGTAACTGAATGGCATCTGCCAAGGATTCAGGTAATTTTTCCCTAGCGATGCTTTCAAAAGACTATTTTTCCTTTAAACCAGGGGTTGTTCCTCACAGCCTCTCCAAGCACTGCGTTACCATCTCCCATCACGTCCCTCGGAGCAGCGTGATGGATTGGCAGCAAACCCCACAACAGCAGGCCAGCCCCAAGGCAGCACTGACCCCAGGCAGCACCCCTGGTCCTCTCCCCTCGCCATCTCTGCTGCCTCTGCTCCCATTGTGAACGCAAACCCTCCCTCCAAAACACGAACATCCTCACCGTTTCCTCTGCATCACAAACAGGCTGTAAAGCTGCCAGCAAGGGAAAAGGAAAGGACATCCCTTTGGATCTCCTGCCCCATCCCCTCTTCTCTGGCAGCCAAAAGCAGAGCAGAGTCCATCCCTCACCTCCAGTGGCAAAGGTGCAGCAAGAGCTGACCCAGGGATGCTGGGAGGCATTGGGAATGTATCCGGCCACATCTCCATGCCCAGGCTGCACAGCCAACCTAACCAGGTGGAGTGTGGAGGAACAAGAGCTGTTCAGTGGTTTTAAGAGGGGAAATTATTTTCCTGCCAGACCATCCCAGGCTTCCAGCACTCACCGCACCGTCTGACCATGGGCTACGTTTAAAACATGCTCTCTGGCTCTTTCTCACCAGGGAGAGGATATGAATAACAAGCTGGTACAGCCTTCTTATAATGCCACATTTTTCTAGTTAGCAAAATCTCTGGCAAAAACATGAAGATAAAGGTGGATTTCAGTGCTCGAGCACACTAGATGCAGGTTGGATGATGCTTGACAGCTGAACATCTCTTCCTCTACCAGCGCCCTGGCCTGTGGAGCACCTCCACCTTGGGGAGGTGGAAAGGCAGGGTGACTCAGGGAAGGCATCCATCCAGTTTCCAATAGCCCTTTGACCAAACCAAACTCTTGGAAGCACTGGTGGAACCATAAGCAAGTTGTGGGCAGCGGAATTAATGAGACCTTGTTTCCTATGAATTTGTATCTTGCGGTTGGACTTTCCAGTGCCTGAAGACCATATGAGCACCAAGGAGGCACTTTCTGCGGTCGGGGTGTTCAAAGCCTCTCCCTCTTCCTCCCCATCATGGATTCTTCCTCTGGCTTCTAACTGGAGCTGTGCTCAGGCCACCAGCTCTCCTAGGGCATCAGCGGGCTATCCTTCCTCCCCTCAGCTAGTCGCCTTCCTGGGCTCTGCCTCCAGTTTAATGTCTTGGAAACAAATACCTTCTTTTCATGGTTGGCTGGAATTGATCCAATGGACTCAGAAACACAGGGCAAACTAGCAGGCAAAAGTGACTAAAGAAAATGCATTTACTAAGAAAGCCAGCATAACAACGTTACAAAAACATTGTACTGTAAAGCAGGAGCCGCCCACAGTCTTGAGTCCAGCAGCCACAAATGAAAACTTCCTTAGGGCCAGGAGGCACTGGGAATGGGCATGGACCACACCTTCAAGGGCTGAGGACAGGGAGGAGGAAGGGAGCTGTGACAGGGGCTCCCGGTTACCTACCTGGCCATCAGCACCATTACCTTCCTGGGCTCCACAGCACCCCTGGAAAACCCAGCAGTGCAGCCCCTGCTCTCCCTCCTCCTGCTGTGGGTGAGGGCCAGTGACTGCCTTGCCGCACTCACTGCAGCAACAGAGGGAGAGTGGGGAAAAGCCAGTAAACTCCTCTGCTTGGTAAGCACAGCTGGGCAGGAACACACTGAGTTTCCCACGTTGAAAGGGGATCTATTTTGCATATATATTTACCCTCAGTGACACTAATTATGCAGCAGTAGCAAGGAAAAACCTTTGTGACAAACACCACTTCACATGTGCCTTTCACAAGAGCAGGAAGAATAGATGTTTCTCCAAGAAGATATACAGTGGGACAAATGAAAAAAATCAAAAGCAAAAATGAAAGGCTGCCTATCTAGATTTACAGTGTTGGAGGTATCATATGCCCTAAAGCTATATATATTTTTAGGAAAGACCAAAAATAAAGGCAAGCAAGGCTCTAGTGAGCACAGGGCTCGCTACCGCAGGCAGTGGCAGAACTGCAGCAGCCACGGTGCAGCTTGGAGCACACCTTCACAATGCCCCTTGTAGGAAACCAGTTGTCCCTTCTGCCGTTAGTGGCTGAAATAGAGCTGAAGGACAAGAAAGACACAGGTTTCCCATGTGCAGACAAGGCCCGAGATGGCACTGAAGACAGCCACCAGCCTGCTGGGCTGAGGGAAGGGGGCTTGGACATCCCAGAGCAAAGGAAAACTCCTTGGACCCTCCAGGAGCAGCCCCCCGGCACCTCTGGGGTGGTTATCCAGAAGGCAGAGCCGGGCTGCTCACAGCAGCGTGCACAGGAGAGATGCTGGGCATAAACAGGAGTGAGAAGGGTTCAGACTGGGATCTGCATTCCAGCCTGAATTACCCAATGACCTTGTCTTTTCCCCAGGCCTTGGCTTCCAATGTGTAAAATGCAAAGGCACATAGAGACAGTGTTTCCTGGTGACAGCAGTTTCATAAGAACATATGCACCAAGACTGTACGGCACCAGAGACCACAGAGGTTTAAAAATAAATACCTTTTTAAGACAATGAAGAATAAATGCCCATCACATGAACAAGTGCAAAATTAGCTGGGAGCGTGTTGTCTGCGGGACAGGAATTCACTTTCCTGTTAAGCTGGTTTGCAGCAGAACTGACTGGTTGCAGTGTGTGATCCAACAGCACATCCCTTGCTGGAGGAGGCAAGCAGGACAGCAGGACACAGCCTCAGTCTGTATTTAGAGTTTAGCCCATGCATACCACACCTTCTCTCTTTGCCTGATAATCTGCTTCTCAAAATATTTTTCTTCCTAAAACTAACATGAAAATGAGAGCTGAAGAAACTTAACCTCAAACTGCTGTTTAAATAGCACCGAGTTACTAAAAAGCAAAGGGGGGGGAAAAGACAAGCTAAAGATGCTATCATCTGTACAGACTGACAAGCAGCAAGAGCCTTCCAGATATGCTGAGAGAATGATGGCTCCCACTCACATCAACAGCAAAATGTCACTCAGCATCTGGATCAGGACCCCTCTGCACTGGAAATCAGCTTTCGGATGGGGGCCAACAACTCTCCTCTATTTACTTGTCTGTGCCTTAGTGACACTGCTGCTAACACATCATTTATTTTGCCCATTTAGGAGACATCCAGTTATCTCAATCATTTAACAATGTGTAAAATTACAAACACATTCAACTACAATGTGTTCCTCTTGCGTAAACCTCTCCTCTTGTCCGCATACATAATGAAAACCCTGTTGAGTCAGTAATAAAATCCAGAAAGCTTTTAAGTCTCAGAACTGAATGTTCAAATTTTGTAGCTCACTTCCTTTTCTAACCAGACAGCAGGGCTGCCAAAAGAATTTCTGGGCTTTCAGCCCCTTTTGATATACATATACATACACACACACACAAAAATATACATTTTTATATATATATATATAGCACTCTGCTGGGGCTGGCAGAGAGCAGGCACTGATTGTTTTTATGTTTGTAACACAGTTACGAACAAATGCATTTGAGAAAAGAAAATACTACTTGTTTTCATCTGACAGAACAGACAGCTCAGACCTGGACAGGGAAAACGATCAACTCCAGCTCTGTCAGTAAATAAATATTTGCATTTCACTCCAGCAGAGGAAAAATGCAGCCCTGATTTTAAGAACCAACCTCAAAAATCCATGTGTGGAAATACCACCACTGTCTATGCGAACAGGCCAGTTGCACAACACAAACGCCTGATCTGCATGAATAACAGAGCAATATGCATGTACGTATGCACAAGATCTAGCACACCATGTTTTTGGAGGCTAAGCCTCACTCCTGTGAAGAGCAGAGCATTCTCATCCTGCACTGAAGCCAAGCAGTAACAAGTGAACCAGGCCAATCACAACTGGGAAGACTTCAATAGCTAAATCAGAGAGCCTTAAGATTACATTACACAGAGCACTTGTGATTCCTGCCTGAAAGACCAAATAGCTTCTAAATCCTTTGCACTATTTATAACAACCACCACCACAATTACATTTCTTTCTCTTCAGAAGCACTGTCTGCTTTTGTATTTATACTGTAAGCAGCATATTAAAAAGGGGACCAAATAGATTTCACATATGTCAGTGCAATACAAGAGCAGGCAGCAGCCACGTGAAGGGAAGGACAAACATTCAGTGAGTTTCTTATGGCATGGAAATACAAAGTGAAGTTCAAGTCTGAGAGTTTTCCCACACTTTGGCTAAGTACATTACCAACAGCCACTGCTCGCTGCCACCAGACTGGAGCAGGATGGTACAGGGCATGATACAGCATCGCCCAACACACAGGCACTTACACTGGTGCGGGAATGGACAACTGAATGTAAGATAAACCAGCAAATAAACATCGTCTGAGGAATTGGACCCTGTGGCTCTTCACTTGACAGCCAGAGGAAGGTCATCCCAACCTACCCCGCACTCTAAACTGGGAGATCTTTCCATTGCCTTCATGATGAAATCTTTCCACTGTCAGTGGACAATGAGTCAGAATAGAGGAGGGACACTGTTTACTGAAAAGCTCTTGGAACTAGAGGGAGGAAAAGGTAAATACAGAGGAAAGGCTAAAGATGGGTTCCAAAAACAAGATAAGAAAAGTAAAACATTGACAAAATATGGGACTGAGGATGGGGCTGGAGGCATAAATACTGAAGTGAAGGCAGAAGGGGAGACAGGTGATGGAAGAACCTGGACAGAAAGCTGGATGCAGGTAAGAAATAGCTGAAAGAACAGCAGAGGGGCAAGAATGGGAAGGATGAAAGGCAGCAGGTTCCCAAGTTGTGCACATGCCTTTTTTTAAAGTGAATGCATAGCCAAGGTGACCTTAATATCACCAGGACACCAATGACCCTATCAGGACAGCCAGCTTGCAGTGGCAAAGGGGATAAAATAAAGGTGTCTGAGTAGGGAGAATCAATGCTTCAGGTACCCAAATGCCTCCTAGTCCTTAGCACCCCCTTCTGACATCCCCATGACTCAGGAGATAAATGTTATCTCCTCTCTATAGAAGGGCATTGAAGCACCAGGACATTTATCCAAGACCAACCTGGCAAGCTGTGGAAACCCAGAGCCTGAACCCAGCTCTCCCCAGGACAGAACTGTAGCTGCTAATGAGAACCAAGGATATCCAAAAAATGCAAATGACCCATCCAAAAGGTTTAGTCAGTGGAAGCCCTGCTGCAGGCATGAATGGAGGAAGTGCAGACTCCAGCAGGCAAATTCTTTGCCACCCCATCTCCTGAGTCCCAGAAATCCTGTTGATCTGGGCTAATAAATTTCCCCAAGCCCTAGACATTCTCTTGGCCCTCATCCCAAGCTCACATAAGAAGCTATTTCATAGGCAAGGTTCTTATTTACAGTTACTCAACTCCCATAATATTTTATCTGAGGTGGCATTTTTAACACCCCCCTCCCCAATACTGGATGAACTGTCTCTTTCTTTGCTTTATAGGTTTGTAACTAATCTAGTTAAAATCCCATAAATATTGGGATGTTTCTGTGCTCCCCATTCAGGCAGGAGGCTGGCTGAGGAAAAAGTCCATTAGCATTAAAATGACGGTGACATCCAGGCTGAAGCTGACAATTCGTTCATTTTTTAAGTCTACTGTCATCATGCCAGCTGCCCTTCAGGAGCTGACTGTGCATCAACTGTGTAGCCTCCTAAACACTCGATACTCAGGGAAAGGGTATCCTGCCACAAAATCCAGCGGGAGTCACAAGTCCTTGCCAGGTCACACAGTGGGTTAATGTGCCGGTTTGCTACCCCTGGGAGAGCCGGGCTGGAGCCTTTGTTTTACTACAGACCTGTGTGCCACTCGAACAGCAAGGAGGAGGTCATAAATGCAGGGGAATGGGGCGCCAGAGAGCAGAGAGCCTCAGGCCAGCGCTGCTCCTGGAATCAATGAATCTCAGTTTGGGTCTAAAGGTGGCTTGGGTTGCTTCAATCAGTGCTCACAACCAACGCACAGTAAAGAGGTGCGAGCAGGCCACGTTGAAACATGGCCTGTAGCTCAGCTTGCAAAGAAAGAGGTGCATTATGCTGCCACTTCTCCTGGCTGTGCAATGGCTCCTAGCGCTGCTGTGGTCATACCAGCGCTCGGCACAGGAGCCCCCTTCTCTCGGCACCCTTTTGTGATGCTCCCAGCTGCAATGGGGTGGTCTACGTACAGTACTTGTCAGAAAAGGGGCTTGTAGAGAAGGAAGCTGCAGCCAGGGCCTGACCACAGGGAGGTCCTGCGCTGCTTTTACCAGGATGATGCTGTTCTTCACTAAGCAGATACCCATGGGATGGCCTCATCCCCTTTGTATCACCAGGGTGGCAGGTCACCTGCAGTCAGGGAAAGATGTCCCCTGCAGGTGAAGCTGGTAGGAAAGCAAAACAACCTCACCAGGGCTCCTAGCTTTACTCACACCCCAAAAAGATTATTAAATTTTATATATATGTGTCTATATTTAATCACAGAGCACTTAGTCAGCCCCAATACAGAACTTTACTTTCTAACTCCACTTTGCTTCAGCAGAAAACTTTCCTGAGAAGTTAGTCAGCCCAAGAATCCCTTTAAAAAGGTGAATATTTTTTCTACAGGAGTTAAAAAGCTGTCAACTGTAAATCAGACGACCAAAACAAACTCAATTCTCAGCAGAGGATAACTTCTGAGGAAATCAGAGAGGCAGATGCAGCCACCCTATTTCTTGGGAGCTCTCCAGAAACTCAAATATCAGTTGTTTCAGTTAATTAATATATGCAAATTAATTAATGACATTAATTTTGACCAGATAAATTAGCCTTAATGTCAGTATAAACTGGATCAGAAGCTAGTGCTCATGTAAGAACTCAGCCCAGATCAAAGGTAGCATGTTAAAAAAATCTCCCCAAATGTGGAAGTGGATTTCCCAGCATCCCCATCAGCATCTTGCAGGGGTGGGAGGTGTGTGCACACAGTTTGCTTTCCCCACAGCATCTGGTCCCTCTTGCCTTTTAGGAACATGCCTGCTGATAACATCCAGGCTCTAGGCAGTGGTCCTGAGCCCCAGCTCCTAGTCCATGGAAACCCACCAGCACTGCACACTGTGTACCCCCACAGGTCCCCATGCACGGGGTTTGCTGCCCTACTCTGCTCACTCCCCTGATCTCTGTTTCACACCCGACCTTCACCAAGAGTATTTCAGCAACAACCCTCTTCTTCTGCAAGA